ATTAATACTTCTTTCAAATGTTAAAGTAACGTTTTATTTTAGTTAATTTAACATTATACATATGTCAATTTACTTTTACGTTTTACTTTTTACCACATTTGTTTTGTGTTAAATTTACACATAACTGAGAGTGGATGATTTGGGACACATGAAATATTAAATTTAACACATCAGTTTTTACAGTGTAAGACCGTCTCGACCAATGAGCATGTTTTACAGATCAATATAATAATTTTATCCTAAGATGCTCATTGGTTGAGACGATCTTATGCTATATATATGCAGCTATGTTTTGTGTGCGATGGCCTTTAAGGCGAATTCACTAATTTCACACCTGTAATTTCACATCCTGGCAGAAGACCAGAAGGTTGACAGGCAGAAGCCAATTAAAACTGACGCCGTGGTAGTCAGGTGATAGTCGACAGTCTGCTTTTCTACCAGCGTGAGTTCCGATTGGCTTCTGCCTTTCTGTTCTCTGCTCTTCTCTGGCAAGGTGTAAATTCTCCCTTAAGGATCGTCTACAATGCGGTCGTAGTTGCGTTTTAAAGTTGCAGTACTAGTTGATGAATTGACCATGTATCTGTTTGACGAATTCAACGAAACTTCATTTCTTATGAGTTTTCGCGAAGGAAATGGATATATGATCGATTTACAGAGTAGTGCTGCAACTTTAAAACGTAACTGCGACCGCACTGTAGACAATCCTTTACCGTTGTAAGTTAAGAAACGCGGCATAGATTCACTACACTGTTTTTGTGCAACGTGCTCGATTACAGGCAAGAAAACTGCTATTTTATGCTTTGAGTAGCATTGTGTAGTGAAATGTGACAAGGTAGTATCGTGAAATCAATATTTCAAATAAATAATTATTATTTATATAATAAAATAAATATATATAGTGATATAAATAGTGAATATATAATGATATATATAGTGATATATATAGTGAAATATATTTATATAGTGAAATAAATATATCGAAATGCAATTTTGCTCGATAAAAAATAGCGAATTTATGAGTAGCTCTCTTGATGCGCCACTGAAAGAAACGCGCCTCCTGGGTGCCCTGAAAATAAATACCTGATGAATAAACACCTTGAGATAGGACGCGAGACGAGTTTTCGCCGCGTCGATAGTCAGAGAGAAAGAGGGAGACACAGAGAGAGTTTTTCTCACGGTGCGGCGAAATTCTGATTTGATATCGTGCGAATCTGGACCGTAGTCGGCGAGAAGCGGCACGGCGCGATGCGTGTATTATGCAAAATACCCCGAGGGGGATGAAGAAGGGCTGCGGTCCTCCCTCGTCACGTAGCGGCCATTACGCGCGGGGATCCTCCGGCGGGATCGCCGCACCCCGGATGAAGCCGGGATCGTTTGGATATTGACTTTCTCCGATGCGTCACGGATGACAAAAGATCCGGACGGGTCTATATTCGTTTACGATACCGGCAGATACTGATAGGAACCGGAGCCAGACGAATCGGCTCGTTTACGCGACTGAAGCGAGACGCGACGCAGATTGAATGTTGGGTTCAAGGAAGCGTATCCGTGAACGTCTCGTTAGCGTTGCGTCGCGCTTCTCTTAATTCTTCAGTTCTGTTAATGTGACAAACGGGGCATTGACCTTACGTGAAATTGTTTAATTTCGAAAATATCATATTTTAATTGCAGGGGTGTTTCCCCTCTTCTTAGAACCATCTTCAGTAAGTCGCAGTCCACATGAAGTGAGCTAAGCGAGAGTATCGCGAAAAAGCGGCAACAACTAAATCTCTTACATACCTTTTTTAGAGAGGAACATTCGCGCTTGAAAAGATGTATTTTCGAAAATTACGTGCGTATTTCGCTCTGCATCGTCTCCTGGATGACAATACGCCATGTTACTGCAAGTTAGGTCATATAGTGTTAGCATGTAGAGCACATTCTGGGAAAGTTTTTTAAATAACATTTGCGCTTGAAAAGGTGTATTTTCGAAAAACGTATCGCGGAAAAGCGGCAACAATTAAATCTCTTACATGCCTCTTTTTTAGAGAGGAATTAAAGTCGGTCTCTTTTTTATAAACTGTGGACGATTCTGTTTTTTCGTAGAAAATAAGGTGAATTCAGAAAGATTAAGAGGATATTATGTTGAAAGAAAGAATGTATTTTGCATTAAAAGAATATTATTCTGAGAAGAGTAATTTATACACAGAGAAGAAATTTTCTCCTTGAGAAGTTCCAGATTTTTTAAAATTCGTGAGCAGCTGAGGCATTTTCTTGCAAAGCTCTTATCGTTTTGTACGAAAATGACGCACAGCTTTGTACCAGCTTGAACATCGTATGACCGCGTTTAACGCGTCGATTATGCGCTCGGAATACGTATCGCAGGACAAAACGGGACTCGTCCCCGCGAGGATAACGCCGCGAGATAACGGCGGCCACGGGTTTAAGATCACCCGGCCAAGATCGCACGGTGAATCCGTAAAAATGAGGCCGCTGATCTCGTGCGAGATTAGCTCTCTCCGTCCGTCTCTCATCGGCAGAATTTTAGGACAGGATCCATTCTCCTTCCCCGCTCGATCCCGCCGTTATCTCGCGATGCTCCGCGTTGACGGCTCGTAGTCGCTTTCAGGGACGCGTTATCGGTACGCTACCTTCTGCACGCGACGAGGACGTCGATTGCGACGCGTCTCGCCTGCTCCCTCGGCTACCGGCTACCTCGAAATGCTCGACTCAAAGCCGGCCGAGCGGCGGAGAAAGCGATATCACGGCGATAAGGCCCTCGCGCGGTGGTGTTGTTGACGGCCACGGATACCCCGGCGGATCAAAATAACGCGTTCCCTGACGCGCGACGAGGAGAAGTAAGGCGGATGAACGAACGAGCGAGCGAGTGAACGAACGAGTGGTGTTACCCGAAGCCCCATGGCCGCAGGATACTCTTCGCGTCTCGGATAAGCACGCCAAGTGCGCAACTTGGAGCGCTCAAGTATCTCGTGTACGCAGGAATCCGGAGGAACTCCTAAGATGTACAGAGAGAAGGAAAGTACGCTTTCAAATAAGAGATAAAACAGTCGCTTTTTTGTCATGTCCTAATGACACTGAAAGTCCATCTACTTGTACAGTAGCTTGCAAAATGGCTTAGAGACGATGAAGCTGACAGAGCTCACTCTGAACTGTCAAAATTGGGAGTTATTATCAATAGGCTTACGCAACGTAATTACATAATCACACTCTCACACATACATTACATACTTTACATACACAGTAATGATTCTCAATTTTGACAGTTCGATGAGTTCCGCCAATTTCATTGTGTCTAAATCATTTTGCAGCCCACTGTACATTCATGTTTATTTATCAATACGTGTCAAACGTATCTAAAAAACCACGAAGACATTATCCGCTTTATGGAAATAATCTCTCGACCGTTAAATGACTATAGTGAACATGATATAACTTCGACCGACTTGACATTCTTAGATTATATTCTTGGAAAAAATGACGCAAGACTACTGATAACGAGAGTAAAAAATGGAAACTCACTTCACCAAAAAATTTTATGCGTCCATTAAATTGTTTGGTGCCTGAATCGAAAATTGTGGAATACCACCTGCATACCGAGAAAAAATACTTGAAAGTTTCTTTAATATAAAGTTTATCTCCGTGAGATACAGAGTTCATGTCTGTGAAATGAAATTTCTCTCTGTGAAAGAAACGTTATTCCACAAATATAAATGCTCAAGGACTTTTTTTCTCTCTGCATAGATAAGAGCATTATTTTGAGACGTTCCACGTGTAATCGTATTCGGGGACTGACAATTATCAAGATGTGGTCTTTTAGTGCGGGAAAACGTGCTCTTTCTCTCGCCCACGTGGCTGCAATTCCGTGGCTCGATCTACGTGCTCGCGTCTCAAGCCCAGGGAAGAGACGTCAAATAATCCCGCTCTCTCCTTCGGTCTTTTACACACAGGTCTAACGGCTCCTGAAAATTTACCCGACACGTCGCGAGCTCATTCGTTTCAGCAGGTGTGATACGGTGGCGCGTGCTCGAGAGACGAGAAAAACGCGGCTATATCTCAGATCCTTCGTCCTTCTTTTTTCTCTCAGTCAGCCAGCATCATCGTCCGGCCTCGTCTTTCATCCCGTCTCGTCCGAATACTTTTCCGTAAGAAGCGCTTTTCGTCGCGCCGCGACGAACGTGACTCGAGTGAGAGCCCGCGAGATAAGTCGACGGGTAATGACTTTCGATCGTGACACTCGCGCCATGTTCCGAGTCCTAGATGAGATCCCGGAAGCTGGACCGGCGCGTGTTGCCTCTCGCCCGCGACCAAAGCGACCACACGACGTCGCCCGTTCGTCTTTTCTCGTACCTTATCTCGTCTGGTATACTTTCGGCTTCAAGGGAAGCCGATATATTTACTCGCGCCACGCATCGTTTAGCCGGCCCATCCACGTAGTCCATCGAGCTGCTACATAACGCTCGATCCTTTTTTACGAACTTTTATGTACGTCGCGATAGAGCTTACGAGATACGTGTTCGTACAGCGTGTTTAACGCTACTAAACGCGGCCCACATCGTTCTAATCCATAAAGTCGAACGAGGTTCGGTCGGTGGCCGATTTCAATCTGACACCAATCCCATTAGACTACGCACATAGCATAATTAATTACGCCTAAACAGTTAGCTGTACGGCCAATAGAGGTAACTTGATTAGCATGTGATGTCGTTAAAGTGAGGATAAAGATCGCTGCTTTCATCTGAAGTTTCGTATTTTTACAGCGAGTGTAATATCGACGAAACTACACTGAGAGAAAAAATCTAAGAAATAAAAAATATTGATTCGGTACGTACTAATGACACATTTACTTGTATTACTACTAAATATTTCTTTTTTTTCATATAAGATAATATACATCTTAAAATCTTAGCTTTTCGTAAAAACAAATGTTTATTCCATTTGAACAAAAGAATTTAGATTTAAATAAACATGTTATCCACCGAATAAATATTTTCTCTCTCAACATGCAACGTGCAAAAGTACTAGTTTCGAAATTAGGTATGCTTCTTATCGCTTCTCGTATAGTAGTCTCAGTAAATACATTAATTGTTCATTGATAACGAGAGTTAACACAGTGTGCGGGCCTATTCTGCAATAAGTCGGCCAAAAACCTTTCCACAGAGATCCTATTCCTTCGGTTTTTGCGATGGACATCATTACCGCGAACATACCTGGTAATTTGTCGGTGCTCTTCATGTTTTGTATTCTACGGAAAGCCCACACACACGCAAAGTTCTTGTTAGACAGACATTTCGATTAGTGGAAAGAAGTTCTAAGTGCCGAAATTAATTGCAAACCTGGTCTTGGTGATGTCGAAGGGCATAGAGTTGAAGGTAGTCAGGAACCCAGACACCATCGACGCGTAAAAGTGTAAAGCTATGGTGTCCGGGACGTTTACTGGGAGAATAAGTCGGGAATTATCTTTCATAGAATGTTTCAAGTGACGTGTACGAAGAATATGTGTTTTAGGTATTTAAATAGACTTTTGGAAAGCTCTCTGATCGGTTTGTAGACGAAACACTGAAGCGCATTGAACGCGATAAAAACGTACATCGCGTCGCTATTAAATATTTCACTTGGCTATAAGTCGCCAATTGCGAAACATTGACGACAACAGCTCTTGCCATCGTGGCCGTGCTTCCTCTCCACAGTGCAAACAGTCCTTCCTCCTTAGTTATCTTACTGAACGCGTCGAGTACGTTCCTATAATTTTGCCGTTGCTCTAAAAGCATCCAAACAGAAAGGAAGAAGAAAGGAGAAGAAAGTAAATCAAATTGATTTTATATCATACACAGTCGAATTTCGTTGAATAGAAATCAATGTCGATGAATGACCGTTGGAAAGTACTTCATATACTGACCTATTGGTAATCTACCTTCTGTCGTCATTCTCACGAGAGCAACATCAGCTGGTGTGCCGACAAAGGCTCCCATAGCACCAGCAGTCCCAGCCATAAGCGCCAGAACAACAAAACTGGGCGGTTGAAGGTATCTTTGTCTATTTGCGCGCGAAACATAATTAGTTTGCCGAAATAGCGGGCAGTTCAGCTGAGATAAAACACTAATTGTCGACATTCCTTTAGTCATTAATACTTCAGAAACAAACCTGATTTTCCTTGGGACCAACATCCCAGTTTAACTTTTTGTCTGCGCTCTATGATTCCAAAAGAGAACTTGATAACTAATGCTGTGAACAATCGGTCGCAGAAAAAGCAGGCTTTTCTAGAATATCAGTGACTAAGAGGATTTAGTAACTGGAGGTTTATTCCTATCTTGATTATTCTAATTACGCGCGCGCGATTGATTGAATTCTCTCTCTTTCTCTCTTTCTTGACTCACCTCCAGAAATCGTGCATTTGATTGTAAATTCCGAGTCTCGCAGTCGTGTACGTGGCTTGCCTCACCAGGCCAGCCGTTAAACCACTGTAAAATTTGACGATACCCTCCTTGCCGTATACCGTGCGGATCAGGCTCAAAATCGATACTCTGCCCTTCTGCATTTGCATTCGGTTCTTTATCACGTCCATCGGGTGGACCACGCAGGTCGCCGCCATGCTGAAATGCGCAAGTAACTTGATAACGATGAGATGGGCGCGGGCAACCCGCTGAAGATTCAATCCATTACCCCGAAAATCCAGCTGTCAGGAAATTCATCCACGGCGGTAAGGGCTGTTTTTTCCCCATCTTAGGTTCTTCGACAGGTTTTGACATTTTTTTACTCAATTACTTGAAAACTCACACACAGAATATTTACACAAACAAGTCGGGCAGATGAAGCGATCCTCTTACGTCCCTCATGTCGAGATCAATTTCGCGTAAGTCGTCGGAAAATACACATCACTCTGTGACACAATTCAGTTTTATAAAAATCACTCCGCGACCAAAGTAGAAGCGAGGATTATAATGGAAATATTATTTGACGTGCGAGGATTATAATGGGAATATCATCTGACGTGCGAGAAGGTTAAGTTTTGCTCGTTGTGAGGAGCGCGATGATCACTCAGGTGTTTCGACAGCGTGAGACGGCCTGAAGGCTCTCCGTCGCGAAACAAGGGACGATTGTGACGCGTGACAGATGCCCACCCGGAATGAACATACGCGCGGTGTACAACTACACCGAGAGAAAAGGATCTCTCCCGAGGATTCTCTTGCTTTCTTCCTTAAACGGCGATTAGCGTTTCGCCAATTGCCCGGGAGTAATCGCTGATACAGTTATATTAGTGACCGCGCGAGATCTTCGCGAACGGCTTTGTCGACCGAGTCCAGCCGCCCACGCGTTCCTTCCGAACAAGGATCATCCGTTAGGAAAACTCGCGGGCATCGCGCGTCAGCTGGTGCGTGCTCTCTCTCTAAGCAGGAGAGTGCGCTTTCTGCTCTCTTCCCACACGGAGAGAATATTGCAAGTTCTTCTTCGTATAAATTTTTTTCAATTTTACTATGCTTTTAATAAGGTAAACGTCCTAGTGATTGAACCGACCGAAGTGATTGACGTGTACCGATAATTGAATTACTAATAATATACTTGTGTGTTTGTTAAGATACTTATCAATAAATAAAACAAAATCACAAAGTAACTAAATATTTCTTTTCATTTATTATATTGTTTTGTATATTGAAAAGCATTTCAACAAAGAAAAATATTATACAAAACCAATATGTCAATCATTGGGACATGTAAGTTCGACCACTGGGACGTTTACCTTAGTTCAGGGCTTATATTCTTGAAATTTTTGCGTATACGTAATTTTCATTGCGCAGCTATTTTATGGTATAATTAAACCTGCGCAGTAAAACTTACGTATACGCAACTATTTCAAGAATAAGAGCTCAGGTATAAAGACTGTCAGTAAAGTCTGTCTTGCTAAGGGACATACTGAATTTACTAGAAACATATCTAATAGCACATTTCAGCTCTTGAAATAAAAGTAGCGTATATGAAGTAAAAGCACAGTGAATTTCTGCGGAATGTCGATCTACTCCTCAGTTTAAAAATTCTATGAGAATCTTTAATGCAGAATTCTCTACGTGCAGAAGAACAGCCTCGGCGGCTAAACGTGACCTTATCACGCGCGTATGTAATGAAACCATTAGGGCGCTTACGTCAACCCACGCGTTTCTTGCGCTGAATTAGAAATCCACCGTCGCGTCTGTACGCCTACCTGGCGTATCGCCCTTCAGACCTAGAGTTGGCCGCGGGGAGAAGGGCAAGGAGGAAGGAAGGGAGCGAGAGAGACAAAAAGAACAGCACGAGCTCCTCGATAATGCACTTATAAGCGTCGGCCTTCCCGGCGATCTTTCCCACATGAGCTCATTACGCTTCGCCTTTTTGCTCAACGTCACTCGGTATCCGCGGGCCTGCAGCGTGATTCGCGCGCATTGTCACGGCGAGAATCGAGACGGTGAACCGTAATTTGTTCGATGGACATGATATATTTGTTTGAGAGAGCTCGTCGATTTCGCCGACTGGACCGCTTTTTTCCGACGATACGGTTTTTACGATATCTCATCTTAATAATAATTCTATCAATACTGTCCCGCGTATATCCCCGCGGGATAAGATGAAAAAATTACAGGAAATTTGTAATATAATACGAATGACTATATATATCTCTGTGCGACAGAAATCACATCGCGGACTTTGAACTCTTCGTCGATGGGAACGAGCGCGACGGGACTGGAGCAAGAATTAAATAGATTAAAAAGTTGGTTGACTCAAACAATCGGCGAATCGATAATAAAAATTGATCAATCGTCGTACATAAAATCACGAATAACTTAATCGATTGACGAAATTAATGGTTAATCAAACTTTGGTTTAATTTATTAAACGCTAATTGATAGTTATAAATGAAAGAGAAAGAAGACAAATGAAAGCCAGTCGCGCGATTGTTAGTGCAAATATTTAAACTAGAAGAAAATAATAATGCTTTCAACGGTTATCTCTCTCTTTCTCTTTTATTTGATTGTGTATCGTATGATTTATTTAGATTATCGATCGGCCGATTATTTCCGCTGGAAGATTTTCCCTTTCATCGATTACCGCCCAACGCACCGTTTGACGCACGCACACGCGTCTGATCGCGATTAATCGGCGCGCGATTGCGTTAATTGATCGACGATCGATCGCGCGTGCCGCGTACGTTCAATTAACGCGGCGCGGGACCGTCTAGAATCGACGCGCCGGCCCATATCTGCGAGAGATTACAGCCGGTTTTCGTAGGCCGCCGCGCAAAAACTCGTTGATTGGAATCCCCCTTCTCCCCCCCTCCCCCCTCGCGGCGGACGTCGCCGGTGGACAGCGGAGTTAATGCGTCCGCTACCTGGAAACCTGTGTGTGCAGCGCGGTTTTCTTTGAGGCTTCCCGCACACCGTCCCGGCCCGCCGCACTGACAACACCCGAAACGCTTTGATTCCCTGAAGCCGGGACGAGCGCCGCGGCCGTGCCAATAAATTATGGAATATTTATTGGCCGCCGCGGACTCTCCCTTCTTATGATCGGGATCGCCGCAGCGCGCGGCTGTGTCCCGGACGCGATCGCATTGCGACACCGCTCCTGCGATTCCCGATCGCCGCATACCTCCCCTCGCCCCGTGCCACTCCGCGACGGATGATCAGATAATTTTAACGAAGAATCCGCCGAGACTCGGAGACTCGGAGCGCGCGGAAGTTTGTGGAGCCGCTCGGCTGAAATTGCAGGCCGAACATTGGAGTAATAATGAGTACGTGATTAATACGATAGTGTTGAGGGGACACTGAAGCCGATGACGAACTCGAGCAATGTCGATGACGCAGTAACTAACACGCTATCATTTTCGTATTTCTTGTGCATATAGATCTTACGTATGTAGATGTACGTTGCTTTGTTTTACCATAGTTTCAGCGGGAAACCCTCAGCTCTTTGATTTAGATGCGCAGTTGAGTGAATCAAAAGGAATTTGATATTTTACCACGAAACTTTCCTGGGCATACTACTTGAGGGGTTAATAGTATAATCTTATACGCGATAATTACTGTTAGTGTTGTCATTATTATTATTATTATCACGATTCGAAATGACTCGCTGCATCATCAATCCTTTTTCTTGGTGCACTTAAGATTGCGCGTTAAGATCCGCTATCGCGTCCTTTTCTTTCCGCGCCTGGGAAAGAGGAGGAACAAGCCAACGAGAGTGCCTCGTCGTATCCACCCGCTATACTTATGTATGGTAGCTACGTCCGCGACATAAACGCAGCCGTACGGATAAACCATACAACAGGCACGTTTCGCACTTTATACTTTACGTCTCTACCATATCGCTTAAGAATCTGCGCTGGCGGCGCATAAAATTACGAGCGGGGGTACGCTTACATTCGAGGCACGAACGACGCGTAAGGCAGTGGAGAAGAGAGGACATGCGAGAGAGAGAGAGAGAGAGAGAGAGAGAGAGAGAGAGAGAGAGAGGGGGGGGAGAAAAGAGAGAGAGAGAGAGAAAGAGAGAGCTGAATCGAAGGAGGAGGCGGCGG